GCTGCCCCTGGCCAGGAGCATGCCGATAATGGCCATCATCGCGAGGCGACCGTTCGCCAACTCTGCATTAAGCTTTTTCTTTTTCTCCTTCGAGAACAGTCAGACTTGGGGATGACAGGCATGGCCGACCTGGTCAGTTTTGGCTTAGATGGTGGGACTGTGGGACTATAGGGAATCAGGCTTTTGTTGTCAACTCGACCTCAGGGGATGTGACATCCATGCCCATCGAAATGACTTGCAATCAGTCCCGCGAAGACCCAAGCGATGAAGTCCCTGGCACTCTGAAGCAATCCGCTGCAAACATAGGCAGCAGGAACCTCGTGAATGCAGCTCAGACATTAATAACCCAGCACTCTCCCGCGACTACCAAATCAAAGCAAGCTGTCCTCCGGATCGGCACTAGTGAGCACCTCAGAACGACGTAACATGCCAGAACCTAGAACTTCAGCCTCAGTCTCTGGGGTTAGGCCCTGGTTCAAGGCCCCGACATACCAACCGAAATCGCCGGGGCGGCCGCTAGCGATGTCGGAGCCTCCAGCTAAAGAAACACGGTCTTGAGATGTCTTGAGCTTGGATTTTCTGGCCTCTGCGTTTAGACATGTCCTGTTCGTGGGCCCTCCAGAAACTAGCACATTTTCTGAAGCATGAGCTTTGAGATTCTCTGCTAGCTGCACAACGCAACACCTCATCAAAAGACTCAAAGAATATTGATTGACAGAAACCGAAAGCCACGGGGCTGTCTGCTCTAAGTTCAAAGGGCCTGGAAGGCCTAGCACCCCACTCGCGCGCTTTGGGTGGTCTGGTCTTGGCTGCAGCGGCTGCAGCGCGCCTGCTCCACGAGAGACCTCGCACCATCCCATATAGAGCCTTGGCCGCTCGATTCCGCGGTACCAGCAAAGGATTGCTGGTTGATGCCAGGAGCGCCAAAAGGACCCCGGGACATGAGACACATGCAGCTCAGCCGCAGGATCTGGGTCCAGCCCCCAGCGGGCACCTGGTGCCAAGCTCCAGGATTTGGAGGACTCTCTGCTTTGCGGAATGCTACCAGTATCTGGTCCCAGCCTTCGAGATCGCTGCAAGTCCGTTGGGCACGTCTGCGAACTTCAGGCCCATGCTCGGGGAGAGGAAGCCTCCGGGAGCATTGCAAGCTTGAGATCGGGGGTTCCTCAACTGAACCTCGAAGAACCCGCATCTGCAAAGCCCGAAGATTTTGGAACCTTTTCAAGACCCAACCTTCGGAATTCTTAACTTCAAACCTTGGGTCTTCAATTTTTCGTTGGGCTGGGCTTCGGGGCTTGCCGCACGACTTGAACTGGGATGCAAGGGCACAACGACCTGCCTGGGAACTTTCCTGCGATCTCAGGGGTGATGTAACCTCTCACATGGAGGAGCAAACAACTTCTCTGCTTAAGCTACAAGCTTCAGGGTTGGACTTCAGGATCAACAAAAGCCTACAGCCTACAGTGTCTACAGGCAACAAAGTCCACTGAGCAAAGCGGCCCATGGTCGCGAGCATCGCGATGCGACCGTGCTTCAGCTCCACGGAACGCCTTGGGGGTGGTCCTAGGAACTACGATTGGCTAGGAGTAGCAGGTGGTAGAAAGTGGTAGGAGCAGGTGGTAGCGGTAGCAGCAGGAGCAGCAGGAGCAGCAGGAGCAGCGGGAGCGGCGTCAGCTGTCGTCGTTTTCTATGATGCCCTCAAGCTTCGAGGACCCGCGGCTTTCAGCCTGATTTCTAAACCACCCCAAAGCTTTGCAGGGTCGGGTTTGGGACCTGAGGTTGCGGGTCTGCTCGGAAAGTCAGGAGACCTCCTCAGCACGGACGGCAAGAAGCACTGCAAGTTGTAGGTAGAAGAGAATACCCCAGGATAACACGCAAATAGGTACGACTAAACCTCGCGTGTAAGAAAGGGCTCCGATAGAACCCGAGAAGGAGCGGCCGGGAGCGGCGCCTTCGCATGAACGCCTCCACATCGCCGTCACGAGCGAGACCAAGCCTTCTTTCGGGAGCATCGGCTTCAGTGGCTCGGCTCCAGGGCTTCAGCACGGCTTTCTGCAAAGCGGGCCCGAGGTTTATTGGCGTCAGAGGATTAGATCTTAGGGTTGCGGTTCAGAGCTTCTCTACCGATGTGAGGTTTCGTGGCTTCAGCGCATGGGGATGCTTGGTCCAGCAAGGGCACATGATGAGGACAGCAAAGTGTTGGGGCTCGGGCATAGCCGAACATCCACCTTCTCATATAAACAGAGTTGCGCTCACTGCACACCCACATGCCGTACCTTTCCTGTCCAAGCATACCAGCTCACACCCAAACAAAGAAAGAAACTCGAAGAAGCCGCAATGCTTGAATCCCAGCCGAGAAGCGGATCCCAGTATCCGACTGGAGGCTGCACGCCAAGCTCCTTTCCAAGGAGCTCAGTAGAAAAACTCGATTAAAGTTGTCACTACGAGTATGCTTGAGATAGTTTTTTGTCTCAACCTCGCGGATGGTTGTGGTTTGTGATGCTCGAGATGTCACGAGGATGACAGGAAGACCCTGCCAAAATGCATGCTTTTGCTCCTGTCATCATTGATCGTCCAGTCTTTCTGATGCACTGTCTGAGCCGTCGACTCTAATTCTAATTTATCGTGCCACCCATGTCCAACTCCTTCCGAGAAGGTTCTAAGATTTCCTGGCACAGTGCGAGCTATAGCCTGCCTCGAAGGCTGCCTCGAGCTCCTGAGCTCCTGAGCTCCTGAGCTCCGTGCCTGCTCGAAGGCCCGGAGCGCTGTGGTGAACTTGGAGGAAGTGGCCTCGCCAGGTCGTCAGCGAGCGAGCTGGGAGTAGGCCCCTCTCTGGGCCTAGGATGTTTGCACCTTTCCAACTCTTGCATCCTCCAGAAGACGCACGATATTGCCCTGGTCCTAGCCGCTAGTCGCCGCCGAAAACCTGATCCTGCCTACAATACAACACAACCGTCCTGGAAGCACAAAAGCACACGCCCCACCCTGCAGCGCCTGCGCTTTTCTCACCTGCAGCAACATCCGTGACCACTTCTCATGGGACTTCTTGGGTGCGAGCAACGCTTAATAATGCCCTTTCGGGCTCTTCTCACTTACCCGACTCAGGCCGATTGGAGCCGCGACCCCCCATACCACAAGGCAAGTCACGAGGCCTGGTCCTCGACCCACCTGAACAAAGCACGGTACCCCTGAGGAGTCACATCCGCGTCGGCACCTGGCTAGCAAGGACGGCTCCGGCCGCCACGACGCAGCCGGCGGCTGCGGTGGGTGCCGCGCTGCTGGGCTGCGCGGACTGGGCAGCAAAGTGCCGAAGCTTTGCTGAAGAGTTCGGACTGCGGCATGCTCATCTGCTTGACGGCTTCGGGTCTGGACTGTGGTGGTCAGAGTGCATGTTTAAGATGCCTCATCCACCAATCTACAAGTTCCGCAGTGCTTCCAACTACACAAATGATTCAATGACCAGCTCGTTCTTGCTGGGCACGAAATCCTGCATGGCAAAAGTCTGACACGTTCCGAACGAATTAACAATCTACCTGGACACGGGATGGTTCGGTGCATGGCTCACAATGACGACATCTATGCGGCAATTTGCAAGCGGAGCTAAGCCACCTACCCTGAACTCACAGAAGGCAAACTGAGGCTTACTGGCCCTTGGCTTTGGACTTCCACTCTAAGCTTCAGTTATTTTGGATGCAGGATTCCGGCTCTATGCAGCTGCCGCGCAACGTCACCTACGATTAACCCAACTTGCCATACGATATGCTCTCCCATTCCTATCGCTGTACGAAGCTGTCGCAGCAAGATTTGTAGGAGTAGACCTCCAGACCAGCAGATGTCCTGGCCTGATTCCCCCGCCGGAGCGAAGTGGTCTTGGGGGCGCTGCTTGGCGCCGAGCTAGGCCCGAGGAAGGCTGCACCTCGCAGCGCTACGGGAGGGAGTACTCCTTCAAATTCTCCTTTACTGCTACTGCTGCACGTCGAAAAAATTCGCCGCGATCTCTCTCTCTTCTGTTTGCATGTAGCATGACCAGCGCCGATAAGACAGCGACAACACTCGACTCGACCATACTATGCTAATGATGTACGTATGCTACATGACACGACACGACTGTGGTCCGGCGCCTCCGATTGCGCCAGCGAGGCCGAGGCCGCTGACCATCTGACAGGTTGGATTTGGGTTTGTTGGGCGTGACTTGCACGGAAGGCTCCGACGTTGGGCTCTGACATCAACACAAGGCTCAGAGACCGCACGGAACTGTAGACTCACAACGACACCCCAGACCATCCGCACCCGCACGTGATTGACATGCGGATCTTCACCAAGGATTGGGCGGGCCTTCTTGGAAGGCATCGCTAAGTTTTCGGAGGTCCTAAATCCGAGGGGGCTCCCCCTGTCTACACTTCCTCGCCGAAGGGAGTCCTGTGGGCTGCTTGGCTTGAGCGCACCACAGCTGCGGGCCAAGCACCATACATTTCAAAGAACAGCGCCACGGCCTTGATAGACTTCATAACAATAATATCTACAAACACACACGCGCACACACTACATCGTAATTGTGATCACCATCATCATCATCATCATCATCAACATCGTGATGAGTCGCACTATCCACAAATGTGTGAGGATCATCTTACTCTTGCTGTTTATGCTGCCAACTTTTGGCCTATTCTCCTGTTCAGTGCCGTACTTGCGATCACCACGACACCACCACCATCACCTGCGCTCATCATCATCATCATCATCATCATCATCATGGTCATGCTCATTATGGCGATCATCATTGCTGTTACTATCGCCATCAAAAGCATCCATGATCGAAATCTTCGCTAGCATCAACAACAGACAGAACACCAGCACTAACGGACTAATGCGATCATCTTTGTGTCAGCAACGTCGTTCAACAAAGTCACAAGCCAGCATCGCTACGACCAGCCAGCGTAGAAAATGCATGGAGGCGATTGAAGAATGCATGGAGGCGATTGAAGACTCCCCTTTCTGGCTCATCGGTTCAATGAATCACACCAGCTTGTTTCGTCGAAGGCCTTGAACATGTGCTGACGATCTGTTTGGTCTGGATTGGGTTTTTGTGTTTTGTCAACATGCTCACATGGCGTTGTAAAGGTCTGTTTGCCAGCACAGGTAACACACAGCTCCCCAACCTCCCCACCCTCGCCAGGAGGCTCCTCTGCCTGGGCATGAATGCAGGGAGACGACAGGTCCCAAAATACGCTTGGTGCGGCCCCAAAGGAGGAGGCGGCCTCCTTCAGGAGCTCCAACGGCTCCAAGGGCTCCGAGAGCTCCTCGGCTTCCGCCTGCTCTGCTCAAGCGCGGCTTTTCGGGCCCTGTCTTCAGAGATCCGAAGGACTCGTGGTCTACTGCAGCTGGGTACCCTCCACGAGCCTCCTGAACTCTGCTGCCCACAGGCGGACTAAAGAAATTATGCAGACCTCGACCTGGAGATCCTCCTCTGCCGTCTCGGCAAGCAACTCCCCTGCCTGCAGTTACACTCATAGATTTGAAGTTGGATCTCAGCGTGCATAAACAAAGCCCATCCAAGCCCACGCCTCGTCGACATCGGCATCGCCATACTGGACGAGTGCTTCCTCCTGGCTTGGAGGTTCGCAAATAGGGCACGAGGCCACGCATCCCCGCGAGGCCGAGAGGCCTCGGCCTCCTCCTGTGGCTCCTCGCCTGCCTGCATGGAGCCCAAAACCCGGCAGACAGAAGTCAGGACGAAAAAACTCAAGGTGACTTTCACGCCGCCTCTTCATAGACGAGCCCCTCCGCAGCCTGTCAAGCTCCGAAGTTGGAGATGTCGAAACTTCAGCTTCAGAGCCAAGGCTTCACGGCTCGCCTCACCTTTTCAGTGGCTTCCCGGTGTCAGTGTGGGACCAGTGTACTCTGCCGGAAGCTTGAGGTTTCAATAGGCGCTTCGCTCTGGAAGTTTGGAAACGATAAAGTCACATCCGTGCACGTCCCTACAAGCAGCACGGGCAGGCAACGTTGCTTTTCTCATGATTTGGTTTGCAAATGTTTGCAATGCAACTTCAGCACACGGGATTTGACAACGCGAATAGCCCGGCGCCCGGCCTCTCCCACTTCGGCAGTCTCTTCCATCAATTCCTTTAGGTTGTGCGGTCAGAAGGGGCATGACAGAGGCAGAGAAGGAGTGTTTGAAGCTGGCGGCCTTGAAATGTCATGCTGTGTCAACAAAGGCAGCATTGAAATAAGACATCCGCACACACCTCTGCTACAATTCGCCAGCATAGCCTTTCCTTGTCACAATTTGCCAGCACTTGCTGTATGGTTTACGCTGTGCCCAGCTACAACCAGCAGAAGGTGGGCATGTGTGTGCAAGGTTCAATTCATGAGTCAGCCAGCATTGCAAAGTCTTGCAAAGAGCCACGTAGAACTAGTAGCTAGAATGACTTCCGCTGGTCGGAAAATTTACCCTGAAAGCGGTCGAGGCGGCACCCTGCTCGCCTGCCTCTGCCTCTTCGTAAACTTCGAGAGTCACTGCCTGGGCGATGCATCATGAAAACTGAGACTGTAAGTTCCGCGACACAATGAGAGCTTCCCTTTCGCCCTGACACTAGTACCTTATGCTCCGCCAGAACAGAACACTCCGAGATTTATGAAGGCTGCGCCCCGTGTGGAAACGTGCAACCACCCACACAAGGAAGCACGCCTGCCTCCTCCGGCAAAGTGTCCTCCTCGAGCAGCTGCCTTTATAAACGACTGTTGCAAGGGCGCACAAGAGAGTAAGCGGGAATGTTAGAGGTTAGCCTCCACCTTGCAGCCTGCCAGGCTCGAAGACTTAAAGGGAAGCTGATGATGTTTTGCGGAAAGCTAGCTCAATGACTGCTTGTAGTACTGCTGCTCCTTGTTTTCTCAGAAACCCAGAGACGGGTCGTCTCAACGCCTACCGAGATACGCACACACGCACCAACTAACTACCTACCTACCTACCTACCGAACTAACTCACCAACTAACTATCTAACTAACTAACCAACTAACTAACTAACTAACTAACCAACCCACCAACCAACTAACTGCCAAACCTAACCTAACCGAATCTAACCTGACCTAATTAACAATCTATCTATCTATGATGTAGTTCTTTTGAGCGTGTATATATATATATATACACACTTGTGAAGGCATATTTCTCTCTGTCTAAATTTTTGATCAGTAATGTGTACGAGCAACTCCAACGTTTCGAACAGCGAGCACACTTGTTCCTGTTCTGGAAGATGCAGGCAAACGCGACCACACCCACACCCACAAATCCGCCTCGGCTCGTCGAAGCCGTCTGGTTGAAGAGGAAGAGTCTCCTCCTCCACCTTGCGCTGTGAGAAAGGTTTGAAATGAAACCATGAGTCCTCCGGGCTCTTGGGTTGTTGTTGAAGTGTGAATGTCAGGCTTCGCAGCATCCTGCAGGGGAATAGGGCGACCTTCTGCAAGGCTTGAGGCATGCGTGATTCTGTTTTGTCGACTGCATGGTCGCGTTTGCATGTTTCGAGAGCACATGATGTGTGTTTAGGCACTTGAGACTTCCGAAGCTGATTAACTCCACATCCACCGCACTGGATGCCAAAAATCTCGGTTGGGGTCACTTTAGGACTTTGGGCCCGATCTCCCATTGGAATGAAATGCACGTAAAGCCCTTGCAAGAATCTGCCCAGCCTGCCATGTCGAGCCTGGGTCCTCCAATTCTTTGGGAGCTACCTGGCGGGCTGGCGGGCAAAGCAGGGTGACGGACGCATGGAGTTGAAGCTTCCTGGACGGATGTGGCCCCACTCTTCGGTCGGACAGGGCTCCGCAAAATAACCTGTCTTATGCCCGCGGCATCTTCGAACTTCCTTGTGGGATGGAGCCTATGGTGGCGTGAATTGCTTTCCAAAAGGAAACATGCTCACCGGTGCCTCAACCCTGTTTCCCAAATCTGCCTCTGCCGACTCGGCTGGCTGGTCTTCTCCATACTCGCCCTCGTCTTCCTCATCGAGAATCTCGATGCACTCCTCCAGCAAAAGATAAGTCTTGATAGCTACCACCCCCAAGCCCCAACTCCGCCCTACACCCAGTTTCAGCCGAAAGAGCGGCAGCAACACCCACATGCCACACACCTTCTAGGCTTTGCAGTCAAAGCGAAAACGACACCCCCACCTGACCAAGGCCTGAAACGTCAAAAGGCAACCAAGATGAACATGCCATGTCTCAAGCAGTCACTGTGACCACATTCCTCGGGCACCCAAACCACTAAAGGCCCTTTTCTGAGAAGACGGTGCCTCGGCCTCGTCGGCTCCACCTTCCAGGCTGAAGGCTCGGTCAGGTTTGAAGTTGTCGAATCCTTTTAGGTGTGTTCATGTTTTGATCTTGCGCCCACTTACTCTTTCGTCTGGTCCTTCGGGCTCGTGGGCGCTGGACTTTTGTCTCAGGAGGGACACCTTCCTTCGGGTTCGGAATGATGATACTGTACATCTTTCGGTCTTCAATGCGAGGCGTCATGAAAACACAAGCACATGTTCCAAGTGAACAGCGAAACATCTTCAGCTCCGCAACACCCAAGTTCTTCCACGGAGAGAGTCCCACAATTCAATCCCAAGAACCGTAGACCAACATAGCCATAAATCTTTTAATGTTGGTGTGCGCTCACATGGCCACCTCCATATGGATCGTACTCTGCAACAAGGTACGGATCAAAGAGCGCAGCCTCCGGAGGTACATTGATTTGGACAGCTTTTGCATGATTGATCTCCGCAACGAAGCTTCAAGCCCAACACAAACACCAAGTCAAGTCTGCGCCTCGGCTGTCATGATCGTTGCCATGCACTGTTAAAATGACGAAGATTGGCTCTGGCCAATCATGAACGCGGAACCGCCAAAACAGTGGCCCTATCAACGGTTGTTTGCTGAAGAAACTCCACATTGGTCACGAACCAGGCTCACAACCAGATAGCTTGCTGCGTTGCTGTATCGATGCAACCATTGTAGCAAAACTTTTGTCACGTTACAATTGCTACATGTCCATGAAACGGCTGAAACATGTTTGGCAGGACAGTGCTTTGACTGTCGAAGTCAAAGATAATCACAAGCAGCTGTTTCGAAACAACTTGTCCAAATCTCTCAAAATGCTGGTTTCTCAATTGCTACGAACAAGCCAAGCTGCAAAACATCCAAACTGAACACAAAAAAAATGCGCAACAGTTGTTTTTCCATTTTTGAGATTGAGTCAGCGTCTTCAGAACAACGTGTTAACATCCTGTCACCTTTCCACTCAGCAACAACATGACGACCATAACCAACACGATTAGGAAGGTCATAACCCCACGATGACAGCGACGACAAAGACAACTGCATTATGAGGAAACCACGAATTCAGACCTTCTTTGACCGCTGGGTCTTGGGATGCCATTTGCAAACACAAAGCAACACGTGAAACTTGAAAGCTGGAGTTAGAAATAAGCTGCTTTCAACACAAATCAAAACGGCGCTGAAATGCCTGCTGTCGCTTGCACCTTGCAATTGCTTCTGTTTGGCGATGTTCGGCGTGAGCAATTGTCAAATGGAATTTATTGGTGACGTGTGCGAAAGAAATTAAGACTATCAAATCAATGAAAGATGCGCAAACTGAGCATTTCCTAACAAATTGAATGGATGCACAGTAGGCTACGAAATATTGTTCACCAGGTGGATCAATAGAAACACCACTATTCCCACGCAGAAAAGCTTAACCTTGTCAAATGATTGAATTATTAAACCTGGGTAGTAAGGGTGAAAATGTTCTAGGGCGAGAAAGAAAAAGAGAGAGAGACAGCGAGAGAGAAGGAATGAGGGCAAATAGCCAAAAAAATCTGTTAACATCACAATTTTTTTAATCAAACCACTTTTCGTTATCATGTTAGGGTCTTTTGTCTTTATCTTAGTAGTTGGAGTCGTGGAGTGGAAGGACAACCAAGATCCCCAGATTTGGCCCCAAGCAAACGGCATCACCTTCGGCCCGAAAGCTTCAGGATCCAGACCTGTAGCCCCGCTGCAACAACCTGCCAGCTGGAACCGAATCCTCCAAAATGTCACCCAAACCCAACAGCTTTGCGGCTTTGCCACAACAAGGTGGATTTGAACTCGCATTTGCTCTTCTCCAGAAAAACAAACCTCAAATTCAGGATCCAACTCCAATTCCCAAAAGCATCGCGAAGGGTTCTTCTGTGCGAAACCCTTGAGAAATGTACATAGAGTGAAGTCATCGAGTGAAATGCATGTGCATGGACTAAGTGAAGTACATAAATGGAAGTGCATTGAGTGATCTGCTATCCAAGACAAATGCTGCACGCGCTTGCAAAGTGGTGATCTGTCAGCCAAGTCAATCAACTAGCGGCTTTTCGAACCTCCCAGCTGCTTCTCAAGCCACGTCTTCTGCAACATGTCTAGGTCCGGATTTGAGCTCCGCATGGAAAGTCTCCACTTTTTTTTTGGCTTGACTGGGCCTCGTCGACTACGGCTGTAGCACTCGGTCCCTACAAACAAGCGAAACTACAATCCAAGCATCAAACTACAACAAAACAAAGCGGTGAAACAGCAAAGCGAAGCTCTACAAAGGGCTGCGGCGCACAGGCTTTGCCGGTGTTAGCCGTTCAGCACAAACTACGGAGCCTCAGCGACCGGTCAGGAGCAACAAAAGAGCCGTCGCTCAGAGCTGC